CGCATGGGATCTTCAGAAATGCCTCAATTCGATTATCTACACACAACAACAAATGGATTTTATTGCCATGTTAAACCTATAAAGTTGATTTGAGTGTTATACCATACACTGCAGTGTTCACCGTCCCATTAAATCCATTACTGGAACCAATATGATATTTAAGTATTGAATTTTAGTTTGTCAAATGAAATTATGGAGATAACGAACAATATTCAAGCATAAAAGTCCATTAAACAATACAAAATAGGAGCAGAGCAAACACAGACCTCCAAACATCAGAGGTGGGATCAGGTACCATGGAGGAGTGAGCATCCCCTGTCGACCGGTCACACCCGCCGTGTGCTCCTTGTCATGATCGGGAAATAACGGAAAATCCGTCGACAATTCAGTGTGTAAATAATGGCCTAACAATTAGTATGAAAAACGTCAGTCAGCAATTGACTCAATGATAAATTGTATTTGCTGACAAGGTCATTGTATCGACCATAGAACTTACGAAATGATGACTTTAATCGAGACAGCTGATATTCTTGTTTCATCAACTTGTTTGTCAATAATTTACCTCGTTTTAGAAATTGTACATACGTAGAGCATGCTCTTGCGTATCGAATCAACTGAGAGATATATACCCGTATGCAGGTGATGAAGGTATATTGCTGCATAAGTAAGGGAAGTTGACGATTGAAAAGTTAAAGTAATCACGTGTATCATAAAGCTTGGTTGTTAGATTACCATTGACGTCTTTTTCAAGTAAAATATCCAAATATGAAACAGATGTCAGACTTTGTGGTATCTTTTATATCAAGTTCACCCGGATATGTCGTATCTAAATGTCGAGTTGAAGGCCACACCAAGTGTTTTCTTCTTTTCACGTACAAGATTTTGGACAAATTCTGCTTTTTATGAATACAAAAAAAAGGTCTGCTAATAACGGGGCGCAATTGGTACCCATAAGAATTCCAATGGATTGTTGGAAGACCTGGTCTCCAAAAACCACTTAGATATTGTCAATCAGAAACTCAAGCGTCTTTTCAATGTGAACTTCAGAGTACTTGTGTGTACAATCAGAATGTTTTTTAACAAAAAAATTTTGCAAATGACCAATAACAAGGTAAGTATATTTACGAGTTCCATTTTTATTGAAAAAGCAGCTGTCAATGATATCAAAAAGCCTGGACTTTTATTTTTCGTCTGGAATGGTTGTGTATAAAGTTGAAAAGTCGTAAGTTTTTAAGCTGTTGATTTTGGTAAAATCTTGATTTCAAATTTTCCAAAAGTTCCTTGGAATTTTTAAGTATCCACATCTGATTTACACCACTTCTCGAATATATTGTTGCACAGTACTCTTGAAGTTTCCCATTCACCACTGTTAATTTCTTAGTGAGGAGTAAAGATAAAGGCTTGGTTGAACATTTACTGGAACCTGCTATGTATCTCTGTAAGGATTTTTATGAAGTTTCGGAATCGAATATAAATATGGTAAATCAAATTCATTTTGGTTGTTTGGAATCAGAGATAAAGAACAATTTATGATTATACTTTTTGTAAAACTCTAAACATTGAATTATGAATTATGATTCTGCTGTTATTACTTATATTATGATGACAATGATAAAATCTATCCTCGACACCAGCGTTTTGTGGTATACCACGTGCACCGTCAGTTATGTTGGTAAAAGATCTGTACAAAATCTCAGCGGCTATTCTTTTAAATAACATGCAGGGAAATACGTTCTATTTTCATTAGTGAACTCTTCAAAATTAGAGGCGCGTTTGGTCGTCTGATTGGGACAGCATGGTGTTGCAGAAAATACAAAATATGCCAATCTCAATCCAATTTTAAATGTTAAATGTTTTTGTCATTCCAATTAAAGAAAAGAAGAACTAAAAGACATATGTAAGAGAGCGAGAACCCCAAATTTCTCATCCATTAATAAAAAAAAATACGACATTTCCGAGGCATGTGCATTGTATTTAGATGTACCATACGATAAATAGATACATACGATCAACAATTGATATAAATTGATATCGTTGTCATTCCTACTCTTGATGTTTATGAAGTCACAACAATAAATATTTCATTTGCATTTTCTTAGGAATTGTTCATCGACATTCAACATATTGTTTACATGTTTATGTTACGTTTGTCCCAGAAATCCCGCAAGATTTGTACATTTTCCGACTTTTTCACAATAGAGCGCACTAAGAAGTATAACTCTTTCATAGTGGAAATAGATCGTATTGGTGTATTCTTCTTGCGATACTTTTACAAGCTTTGGAATGCTTTGTGACATAAAAAATATTGAGTTTGCATGATTATATACACAAGGGTTGTCTCAGAAATACGCAAACATTTTAAATTTTTTTTTCACGATATTTGGAATTAAAAAATGTATATGCAACAAAATCAGTATTTTTATCATATCACAGAGAAATTTTATTTGTCTCTACACTTGTATCTCAGGTAAAAGGATCTTAAATAACAGATGTCGGCGCAACATCATCGACCTCAAAGCATAGCTCCTTGTATTTGCAAAATTAATAAGGATTATAATCGGATATGTGTATGTGTTAAATCATGAAAATTTGTTTAAAGCAAATGGTCAATACTACATCTTATTTTTAGTTAGGAACCCATATATCAATCTTGTTAAAATCATCGAATTTTTCGCATGTTCTATGGTCGATACAATGACTTTGTCAGCAAATACAATCTATCGCTAAATTGAATGCTGACTGATGTTTTTCATGCTAATTGTTTGGCCATTATTTAAAGACTCAACTGTCTATAATTTTTTTCGTTTGTCCGATCATGATAACGGTCGATAGGGGGTTCATACTCCTCCATGACACCTGATCCCACCTCTGGTGTTTTTAAGAGGTTCGTATTTGCTCTACTCCCGATTTGTATTGTTTCAATGGACTTTTGAGTTTGATAAATGTTCGGTGTCTTTGAAAAGACAATATCCCAGGACTATTCATGATCCAAATTTCTTGAGTATTTAACAACAGTCTCCACCTGACATGGTAAAGAAAATAAACAGTGATCGATCTCATAAAAATCTATAATTGATATAAATTCGTGAACAGGGCATAAAACACGGACTCATGGAAATTCCAGAGATGCAATCAGGTGCCTTGGAAAAGTAAGCATCCCCTGTTGACCGTTCACACCCGCCGTGAGCCCTATGTATAGATCAGGTAGGCGGAACATTCCGTAGTCAAATTCAGTATAAAAATAAAGGTCTAACAATTGGTATGAAAAACGTTAGTCAACATACGACCCAATGAAAGATTATGTTTGCTAATAAGGTCATTATAATGAACAAATAATTTACGAAATGCTGACATTGAATACTGTTGAAATCCCTGTAACATCAACTTATTTCTCAGTAGCCTACCTCGGTTTAAAAATTGATCGTACTCGGAGCATGCTATATGACTTTCAGTTGGTTGTTATTTATGCAGGTCTACAAATCGCCTCTTCCATCAGATAACCGATCCAACCATGCTTGAACTTCTTTTACCAGGTTTAAACTTGTGTGCATTGTTGTGCGGAACATTATTGCTCGACATCGGAATTTTTTTTTTTTTACAATATCTAATGGAAAGTACATCTGTACATATAGTCATAAAATTGTCATTTATCAAATTCATAAAATGAGTTCCCACAAACATCAAGTTTTTTATTGATGTAAATTTTGCTACATAATATCTCCAAATAATCTGGTAGTGACCAAGACATTGGTGACAATGCGATTTTCAAACATTGGGATGCACCGACCACCAACATATAACACACTTAGAATATGATTTCCACAGGAACACGGAATCCCATATTATAATGTCAAAATGACCCAAATGTCATTCTCCAACAACATGCAAAAATGTATGATTTTGGTAAGGAAGTTTAGGAAATATTTCAAAAGATTTTTTTTCTTTTTGGAGGTGGAGGGTCAACTATCGTATATGTCCTATTCAGGTTTTGTATTTGATTAGGATATGAATCTATTTATTTTTCTTATTTGCTTGGTTTCTGCCTTTCTATCTCGCTCTCTCTCTCCACAAAAATTGTTTTTGTACAAACTAGCAACAGATGGCTGATTTCTAATTCAGTTAATTTCCCAGAAAGTTAAGACAAAAATTATTAGCAAACAATCTTTCAAAATTCTCTCACTTCTATTATCGACATATAACAGCAAGGAATTTAAGTTGCGTTAGCTTGTGATCTACAAAATTTCTTAACTTCCATTATCTACAAAAAAAGCAAGGAATGTTAATTGCCATTGCTAGTGATCTTCACATTCATTATCTACATGAAACACCAGACGTTTCAATTGCCGTAGTCTGACGTGTTTGTAATGGTTTTCCTTAAAACCACCGTAATGAAACTGACATAAAAGAATTTAATGTGAGATACCGTATGTATGTTATCTTTCGACCCTTTGAGAGTGATTCCTGAAATACTCCTTTTTCATTTTTGGAATTACCCAAATTACAGAAACGTCTCTATATATACCGTATGTTATCCTCTGATAGAGCAAAACATTATTTAATTACGGTTAGTCCACCTCAAAATTAAAATGATGTTTTCCTTTCTCTTAGCGATTTTTATTTCAATTTCACAAGTGAGTACGGCTTCCTTATTAACCGGTAATTATGATCAGAACTCTACGGAATTGATAAATGAAAGACGTGACATCAAGGAAATCGACGTTCTTCGACAGATCATCAACCAGGAAACTCTCATCCGTTTAGCCGTGGTCAAGGATGTCAAGGCAGCAGTGGACGACGTTAGTTCTGTGAAGCGAAGATTAGCGTCCACAGAAACAGTTGTCTCTGCATTACAGCAGACTCTAGAAACATTGAAAAAGCAAATTGATTCTCTAAGTCAGGACTACACTTTAAGGGAGACAGTAGACACAATACAACGACAGGTTGATACTCTAAATAGGGACAAAACTTTAAGGCAGAAGGTAGAAACATTACAAAGACAGGTTGATAATCTAAGTAAGAACAATACTTTAGTACAGACGGTAGAAACATTAGAAAGTCAGGTTAATTCGTTAAGAAAGGACAACGCTTTACAGCAGAAGGTAGACTCCACAAAACGGCGTGTTGATTCTCTCAGTAAAGAAAACGAAAGGATTACCGTGAATCAAAATAAGATTCAGGAATTCGATCAGATGTTTAAAATTTTCAAGGAAAATATAACCGACATCCATGAAGATGTTCAAATTGTCAAAAAAGGTAAATCAATCTCCTCTCTCTCTCTCTCTCTCTCTCTCTCTCTCTCTCTCTCTGTTGATGTATGTGTGTACAGTATCATAATTATTATGACATTAAATATGTATTCCTTTTTCATTCAGTTTTAAAAGTACATACGGATTGTAAGGACATCTATCAAAACAGATATACACAGTCTGGTGTATATCCAATAAATCCCTTTGGTAACGAGAATCAGGTGAACGTGTACTGTGACATGGAGACTGAAGGCGGAGGGTGGACAGTAAGACATCTCTCTCTCTCTCTCTCTCTCACTCTCTCTCTCTCTCTCTCTCTCAATAAATTTAGGTTTTCCTTTTGAATTTATTACACTTTAATTTCAAGACTTCTTTAAATTTCTGTTTTATTACCTTTTTACTGGTAACCAACTTGCGTGGAATTAACATGAAAGGGGTATCTAATTTAGCTGAAAGTAAAAGTAACTAAAGAATTGTCAAATTAAAAACGTTAAATGACTTAAAGTTGTTCTAAGGGTATAAAAATAACGAAATACCAAAATATTGCTTTCAGAACAAATTGTAGCTAGGAATAGCATACTAAACAGTAGAATTTTTTTTTATGAAACTAAGATATGAAGAAATCATCAGAAAAATAATGTCTGTTAGTATAAATCTTAAACTGTACCAATTTTGATGCACCAGATGGGCATTTTGACAAATTATGTCTCTTCAGTGATGCCCATGCCGAAACGATGGAAATCCAAAATATTTAATTAAAAAAAAAACAACTTTGAAGAGCTGAAAAAAGGGGTGCCGAAGAATGAAGCCAAATACGTCGAAGGATCAGAGCTATGCATGTGGGAGATAATCCTTAATTTTGAAATAAATTTCTAAATTTTACCAGAACAATTAAATATATATCCGTTTATTCAAGCTAGTACCGAAGTACTTAGCTACTGGGCTGTAGAGACCCTCGGGCACTAAGAGTCCACCAGCAAGGCTATTTTTATCTCTGTTTATATTTAAATGAAAAAAGTACAAAATCTGCATTCGACTGAGCAGGTAATTCATCCAAACAGTTCCCATTGTGAAGTTTTGCACACTTTAAATGCTTTTACTAAAAATATCTAATCAACTCATCTGGATCCCTAGGCAATCCAGAAACGAAGGGGCGGATCAGTGACATTCAACAAAACGTGGGCGGAATATAAAAGAGGTTTTGGGAATCCTAGTGACACTTACTGGATTGGTAAATACTAATTTATATTTGCTCATATGTTTAAAATTTACCATTTATTTAATAAATAAAATTTTTAATTTATATGTTTTGTCATTTTACTTAGAATAACCTTTCTCATGCATTAAATGATCATAAAGATCCCTTATAATTTAGTAACAAATCATGTACATTGGTGACCTATGACATCTCTGCAAAACATTTAATTGTATTTGGATGTACCATACTACATTGATCCTGAAATAGAAAAAAATGTATTTTCTTTATAATGTTCATTTATGCTATATATACCCCTACGATAATACATTAAAGGAAATGACGTGATTCACCAGCTTACAAAGGGAAATAACTCATCATTCTACGTCTCTATAACATTAAGAAATGGCAGCAGTTTCCATGAACTATATCATCAGTTTTCTGTTTCTGATGAATCAGACAAATACAGACTCTTTCTTGGGGGACCAGCTATAGGAACCTTGGGTAAGTAATGAGTTAAATACGTGACTATCAATAAGCAGAGAGAGAGAGAGAGAGAGAGAGAGAGATATTTCTGAATAGGCAAACAACTACAAACTCTTCTAGACAGCCAGCTACTTGAACCTTATATAATATATAATTATATATTTTATTGCTCAGTCCATTTTTTTTATATTAAAATCTACATGTTTTAAAATAAAATTTTAATCTCTGAGCTGATTTTCTTAGCAAGCAATTAAATCTTTGCTCGAACAAAAATAAAACATTTTGTTTAAGCTCAATAAGCACGGATAATCATGAACTGTGTCGGCATATTTCCGTAATAAATAATAAATCCAACAAAAGCAACACTACATTCGAATGGATATCATGTTATTTTTGTCTATTTGAATTAGTCCTGTTCATTGAAGAGTTGAAAAATAGAAAAAATATTGATTCTTGTACAATAAAGTTTTAGAAATAAAAATACCAAAAATGAGAATAAAATTCCTTTAATAATATTCCGTCATTATAACAGTTGTTTGAATGCCCATGCTTGTAATAAATATTTAATTTGAATAATTTCTTATGTTGAAAATAAGAGTGATTTAATAGGAAGCACAATATAAATTAATTTAAAAAATAGTATGTGATTTTCTTTAGATTTAAATTTTATAAGTAAGAATGATTTGATTTGATTTAGGTGACCGTGTAATACTTTTTTTCTTTGATTATTGTAGGTGACAGAATGTTAAGCACCAATACTTATGGCGCTGACCTGTCAGGGATGTACTTCAGTACACCGGACAGAGATAACGACAGGAATAGTAAATATAACTGTGCTGTTGTTTACGGAGGAGGAGGAGGTTGGTGGTATAACTCCTGTCACCAGGCCTACCTCAACGGTCCGTGGTCACCGGGATACTGGTTCCATCCTTGGTCTCCGCTAGTTAAGGATGGTAGCGAGGTAATGGAGACTCTAATGATGATAAAACCTCACTGACTGTGTTACTGATGATAAAATCTAAGTGACTGTGTTACATGATGATTAAAAAAGTCATTGTCTACATATCTTATTCATTGAAAATGTATATTGACGATTTTTCATTCAATCTATTGTATAGTTATTTATACATGTACATACAAAGTCAAATACTTTTGATAAATGATCATGTCATTATTTTAATCATAATGGTGTTATTAATGTCAAATTACTAATTAAAAAGATCCTGATCTAATTTTTATTATATAATGATGTTTTTGTTCTAATCTTATTATATGGTATTCTATTTAAATCTTATAATATTATAATTCAAATAAACTAAAATTAATGAAACTGCTTATTTCTAATTCATGCGATGAATTTTAAATGCTGCCCCCCCCCCCCCGTGATTAGTCAGACAATCAGGAAGAAGTACTTACTTTTATAAGTTTATCTCTATTGGAAGGTTACATTTACCTGTAAATTTACTTTCAAATACATGTATTGAACATCTTAATGATATTCAACCCCCCCCCCCCCCCCAAAAAAAAATCATAGAGTTCATACATATATAAAATGGAACTCTATTTTCATTCTGCTAGAGTAGGAGGACCCTAATCAATGAAGTTAGGTATTCTCTGTAAACAATATATCTAAAACGCAATGTGGAAGGAAAGGAAAAGTGAAACCTGTTTTCATTCTGACTGAAATGTATGGAGATAACGAACAGTATTCAAACTCAAAAGTCCATTAAACAATAAAAATTTTGGAGCAGAGCAAACAGGGACCTCTAGAATCAGAGGTGGGATCAGCTGCCATGGAGGAGTGAGTCTCCTGCCCACCGGTCACACCCGCCGTGTGCTCCTTGTCATGATCGGGAAATAACGGAAAAACCCGTCGACAATTCAGTGTTTAAAGCATGGCCTGACAATCAGTATGAAAAACGTCAGTCAGCATTTGACTTAATGATAGATTGTATTTGCTGACAAGGACATTGTATCGACCATAGAACTTACAAAATGAAGACTTTAAACGAAACTGCTGATATTCTTGTTTTTTCAACTTGATTGTCAATAATCTGCCTCGTTTAAGAAATTTGTCACACGTAGAGCATGCTCTTACGAATCAAATCAACTGAGAGATATAAACCCCGTATGCAGGTGATAAAGGTACATTGCTGCATAAGTAAGGGAAGTTGACGATTGAAAAGTCATCAGACCAAAACTGCAGGACTAGTAATGTTTTGAAAATATTTCACAGAAGTTTCTATTTTTAGTCACCTTGGCAGCATCTTACATTATGTATAGACTTTCACGAACTAAATCAAAGAACAATAACAGCTTCTCTTTACTAAAAATAGAAGAGATTTTAGATTCTCATATGACAATAAGTATTTTTCTATCTTAGACATGAAATCTGGGTTAACATCAGAAAGAAATCGAGGAATGTCACAAAGAACGTACTGCTTTTACTGGTGGTCCATTAGGCTTTTATGAATATAACAGAATGGCCTTTGGATTAGCAAATGCACCCGCTATATATCAAAGTCTTATGGAACAATGTCTTGGTGAACTACATTTATCAATTTGTTTAATTTACTTAGATGATATCATTATATTCCCTAAGACATATGAAGAACATTTTGATAGATTACATTTAGTATTTCAAAAATTGCGGGAAGCAGGCATTAGGCTGTCACCAAAAAGTGTTCTTTACTTAAAACTTGTATCAAATATGTTGGGCACATAGTTTCAGAGAGAGGCATTGAGCCTGATGATGAGAAAATAACAAAAGTACTAAAATGACTTCGACCGAATTCACGTGAAGAAGTTCGTCAGTTTTTCAGGTTTTGTAGGCTAATATAAAAAGTTAATCAAAATTTTTTCAAAAATTGAAAGACCATTATTACATGTAGATCTCATTCCCACACCAACAAGGAAAAGTCGCGGTATAGAGAAAATAAGTACAAATCATCCGATTTTAAATGGGGAGAGGAACAAGAAAATGCATTCAATTTTCTCAAACAACAATTATCTTCATATCCTATTTTATCATATCCTGATTATTCAAGGTCATTTGAATTACATACCGATGCATCTTTACATTGATTAGGTGCAGTTTTATTCCAGGAAAAAGACGATGGGCTTAAACATGTAATTGCGTTTGCCAGTAGAAGCTTAAGTAAAGCTGAGAGAAATTATCCAGCTCATAAGTTAGTTTCTTCTTTGAAGTGGTCTGACATTTGATTTTGAAAAATTCAAAGATGATTTATATGGATGTGACAACAGTGTATACGGATAATAATCCACTCACATATGTCCGTACAACTTCACAGCTTCATGCAACTGGCCATAGATTGCTTGCAGCCTTGTCTCCTTATAATTTTGACTTGAAGTATAGACCAGGCAATATAAATGCTGATGCACTGTCTCGCCTACTTGGTTTATGACAAAAACAAAACCGTATTATTGTTACATCAGATTCTTTTAGTGCCATATGTAATTTGACAAATGTTGTTCCTTTTATTGAAACTCTTCCAGTGTTAGTAGAAGTTTTCAATACGAACATCAATGCTAATGGAAGCTTACAAAGTGTCGATATTGTTCAAGAACAAATTCAAGACCCTGATATATCATACTGTTTGATCACGTGTTTAATAAATACAAACCACATAAAGATGAAATACCACCTACTCCTTATAGTTATGCATTATTTCCATGCTTTGACAAACTTAAAATTATTGATGATAAGTTGTACAGAGATGTAAAAAAAGAAACAGGTATTGTACATCAACTTGTTATCCCTTTCTCACTTGTCAATCTAGTTTTGTTTCATCTTCAAGATAATATGGGTCACCAAGGCAGAGATAGAATCCTTTCACTTGCTAAGATCAATCTTATTGGTACGGTATGACCCGTGACATAGAAAACCATATTCTGCATTGTGGTAGATGTATAAGGAGAGAATCGCCAACACATATGAGAGCTCCTTTGAAAACATCTCAACTACTCAACCATTAGAACTTGTTTGCCTTGATTTTTTAAACTCTTAAAGGTTCAAAAGGTATCTTTGGGTATGTTTTGTAATTACTGATCATTTTTCGAGGTTTGTTCTGGCAATTCCGACAAGAAATATGACGGCTAAAACCACAGCTGAGACATTTTATCAAATGCTATTGTTTGCTATGGTACGCAGCTTACGATCAACTCTGATTAAGGAGCTAACTATGAAAGTGAAGTTATTAAAGAATTATGTTTCTAACTTGGTACACAAAGATCAAGGACCACACCATATCATCCAATGGGTAATGGCCAGTGCGAAAGATTTAAAGGTACATTAATATCAATGTTAGGAACTTTGAATCCAGTTGAAAAAGAGACTGGAAGTCTTACATTAAGCCAATTGTACAGGAATGCAACAGTACCAAGCAAAGCAATACATAAGAGCAAGAGCCACTTAGGGCCTTTTTTAGCCCTGAGAATTTCTGAAAAATCGAAACAGCACAGTTTTGGTTGAAAATGCAGTATTTATAGCTTTGACACTTGTTGACCATGTTTCTATTGAACTTGATGTAATTTTCTCTCTAGTCAATGCATTATGAAGTAATAAAATGCATCACTTTCCCCATATCCTGTAAATTCCCTTAAAAATGGCCAAACGTTGATGTATTTTTTTTTCAATATTTCATATAGAGCGTAACCTCTGATCCAAAATATGCAATTACATACTGAAAGATCTGTTTCTGAAGATCACAAAACATTTTTAATATTTGGATCATGGGCTGTGCTCATATTTTAATTCTTTGTTGAAGGCAGTCAAATACGTAACTATGTTTTCTGCAAAATTGAAGAACATTGCATTTTTCTCAAAGCCTGTTTTCCAATACCTGGATTCTCAAAAAGAAATTTTGTCATAGAAAATTAAAGCACTAAGTCTACTTTATTTTGAAATATGAAATAGAACAGTGGGTGATAGTCTATTAATTGATATAAGGACAGGGCCATTTTATGCATAAAGTGAACCTAGCTCTTTACTCCATACTTTTTGATGTTTGGAAGGAAACCACATCTCCCTATAGACATAATGTTCGACCATAATACACATGTCAAAAATGCTTTCAATATATATCGGGTCCTTTAGAGACAGACTCAAAATTTCCTATGATCTTGCTTTGAAACACATACAAGCTTCACAAGAAAAAAAAAAAAGAAACAAAAAACTATGATGTTAAAATAAAAAGCGGTGTTTGGAAGCCAGGTGATTTGGTATTTTTAAAAATTGTAGCCTTTGATGGCAGACATAAATTGTCAGACAAATGGGAAAATGACACCTTTGTTGTTGTGTCACAACCAAATACTGACTTCCTGTTCATAAAGTGAAGAAAAAACGAAATAGTGATGGAAAAACTTAGAGTTTTACATAGAAATTTACTCCTACCAATATGTACATCACTTGATAATGACAAACCAAAACCAGTTCCTAGAGAAAAAAAAATCTTGATATCGATTGAAAGGTCTTGTGAACTTTTTGTTCAACAACTATTCAGAGATTTCTTTGCGTTGTGGAGATATGCTGAATGGAGATATTTGATATTTAAAACATATTTTCGATAATGTAACACTTTTGGCAGCTGAAAGGGTTGTCAGACCTTTTTGTCTGTTTGTCGACGAGGTAAAGTTGATTTTATATTTGCAGAATAATAACCTGGTCTCAAAAACATAAACTGAGAACAGACTTATGTCAAAATTTCAAATCGATATAACTTTCGAAATAAATTTGATCATAAAATAAAATTTTCATCATATGTTTGAATTAAGGTGTTTTGTACATTTGCGAATTTTTAAGCTAATACATTTTCAATTTTCATTTTCTGGGAATGTGAGCAAAAAAATTAAATGGACAAATGGTGATCACAACCAGTTTTAAATATATGTCGTCATAGTGGGGACTTGTAAATTGCATCTGCTCTGCTGTGCTCTGGCAAAAAAATGGCTCTCTTTACGAAATTTCTGAGGTTATATTTTCCAGGCAAAGTAAATTTTTGACATTCAGAAAACATACCTGATATCAACAGTTAATTCTTTCCAAAAGTAGAACCAAAAACAAGTCTAGAAAGTTCAAGAGAACGAAAAAGACAACTTTCACATTTTTAAGTATTACATCCCTTTGTCTGCATAAAGATACTCCTCACTCTACATTTTTA